ATCCTCCCCCAATTTCTTAACCTCCAACAGCCTCTTCCCCGCCCCCAGCAAAGCATCAAACATATTACTCCTAATCTTCCCCAACAAGACTTTATCAGGAACTTTAGCTGAAACACGAATAAAACTCACTAAAACAACCTCAAGAACTTCAGCCTTAAGCGGAAGATACGGCCTAAGCTCTTCAAGAAAAACAGAGGCAATGTGGTAATTAACACCATTACCTAGAAACTTATCGTCAGCGAAAAAAGTCACCTCTTCCAACACACCCATCAAACGTTTCACCAGCTCCAAATCCCACAAATTATTTCTCATCAAAGCAAAGAAACTAGCCATAAATCTGCGAATCAAAAGGTAGAACTTGTCTAACCTCAAGGCATCGATGCCGGACCACTCGCGGCGCATAGTGAGCAAAAAGGCCGAGAAGTAATGGATGGAAAGAGGGAGATGGAGGCTGAGGACCAAAGAGGAAAGTCGATCGATGAGCTGGGTCTGAACCGGGACCTTGTCTGCGTGCCATATGCAGTAGAAGAGGCCTTTCCAGAGCTTCTTCATGTGGTCGTCATGGAGATTGAGTTGGGTTGGCAGCCATGTCTTGAGGAGGACCCTGAGTGCTCTGTCTCGGCCGCTCTTGTTGCATGAAGCGAGTTGCTTTATCAGTGACAAGCCTGCTTCTGTTGCAGTCTCGGCCTCCATGTTTGAGCTTTGATTCTGTATTTCAAGATTCTGAGACGCCTGCATAAATAGCGCACAGCTGTAGGTGGCTGGTGAAGGGTGAAGGGTGAAGGACTGAACGGTTAAACAAACCCTAGGTAGCGAATTTTGGGATACAAACGAGGAAGAGGCTTGGGAATGGGCCGACGATTATCTCAATCTCAATTGGCTTTCGTCAAGTTTCAGGCCCATTTAGTCAAAGGATTTCGCAAAGTATCTTTCACCCTGAAGACCAACGTATACTATATATATCACTTTTTGAGACCGACGTATATATATCTATACTTACTAGGAATGGGAATTCATGAATTGAATTGGAAACCTAGTGATAAAAGGGAAATTGGAATAATTTCATTATCTATTTCTGATTCTGATAAGTAAACATGGTATTTACTTTGAAAATAATAAGTATGCTCTATTAATGGGGTCTAGCTCAATGAGAAGGGACATTGATTTATTTTCAATTAGGGTGGTTCCAGGAGAAAACCCCTAGATCGAAGGTGTAATCAAATGTTGGTTTCTTTTTAGGCTTCGAGGATAAAAGTGAAGAGAAAAGAAAAAGGAGAAAAGAACCCACATGGCTCTTATTTAAGTTTAGGGTAAATTACTCAAATGGTCCTCAAACTTATAC